CAAGCTTTCCACGCCTCCTGCCCCGGGCCCGTCGGGGCTCCTCGGGGTGGGGGCGCTTAGGGGGGGCCGCGGCCAGCCCAGTGACCTTGAGCTCCCTCCTGCCTAATTCCCAAAACTCAGTTTGTCCTCCACCGCGACGTGACACGGCATGCGGAGGAGGTGCAGGGCCGTGTGTGTGTGTGTGTGTGTGTGTGTGTAGGGGGAAGAGAGTGGAGAAGGGTGCCCCCCAGGGGCGTTCATGGTCAACGCTAGAGGAAGGATGGGGCGCAGCCCTTGGTCTACGCGATGTGATTTAAAGGACCCCTCGAACACCCATTCCTCTAGCAAAAAATTCCTGCCACTACTCCGCTCCCTTTCCCCACCCTCCACCCTGAATTCCACCCGCAGCCTGTTGGCCGTTAAAATACACACACACCAGAGCCGAGCCCTTTAGGTATTACTAGCTATTTACCCTCCAGTTAAGTTTTTTCAGAGCCTCTCTTGAAAAAACGATTTTGATATGGGGAGAGGGAGAAAGCAAAAAGCCCTGGACTCCAGAGATGAGTGGGGTGGGGTGGGGCAGGGCGGGCTGCAAGGGCTTGCTGCTGAAGGGGGGGTGGCGGAGATGGAAAGGAGGCTGGTGTGGAGGTCAAGACCGGGCTCCCCCCCTTACCAGGGTTGTCAAGTGGCCTCCTGCAAACTGGTGACAAGTCAGACTGGCCTTTCCATCACTGCCCTCAGGAAACATATCCCAGCCTCCCAAGGGTCCTCGCTTTCAACATACTTTCCCTCTTAGCTTTCTCTGCATATTTGCAGCATTCCTGGGAGGCGAGCAAAAGCCTGGCCGGACTTCTCCATTTTCCAGGAGGGCAAAAGGGAGTGTGGATAAGCTTAGTCACGTCCTCACTGTAGGGCAGGAAAGGGGGTGGGAGGCTGTCCACCCACCTAAGGAGAAACTCTGTCTTGCCCCACCCCACCCCCAGCCAAGGTGGACAAGACATCTTCAAACCAGCCCCAGATGCCTGGAATGGAAAATCTTTATTTCCTCTGCTAGAAGGGAAGGCCCAAGCAGGGTCCTTCTAGGAGGACAGGGAGGGCAAGAGACTTCAGAGGGTTTGTGAGAGGAGCCGCGGAGGCCAGGGACTGAGCCCCGGTCATTGGTTGTCCTCCAGGAAGAAGTCATTGTAGGCCATGCACAGCGTGGTCAGGAACACCGAGTACTCCTTGAAGTCAATCTCCTGATCGCTGTTTTTGTCCAAGCTCTTCATCAGGTCATCGATGCTACTCTCCTTCATCTTCTTCGAGGGCCCAGGTAGAAAGACAGGTCAGCCACCCCTCCGAGCCCTGCCCTGACACTGCGTGCTGGCACCCATCCCCTGGCAAGGCAGCTTCAGGGTGATCCCAGCCAAGTCAGCTACATAGAGCATCTCGACCCCCAGAGTTTCCCCCGGGCCACACCCAGCACAAGGCCTGGCACCGAGCAGGGGCTCAGTGATCTGACTCCTGAATCTAATAAACTACAAGAGAAAGGCTAGTGCAGCCCACTTCCCCGCAACACTTTCTGCCACCCAAAGAAAGAAGGATCTAGATTTCGTACAACACCTAATAGAAACGACTTGGTGACTATGTGGCACTGAGCAAGGTCCAAGTCTTATTCTGTCCCTGTTGGGGACAGCTGAGAATTGACCAGACATCTCTCCTGCTAGAACAGCTGTATGGAGTGAGTGCCTGGCCTCCCATCGTACTGTCTACCTCGTCCTCTGTCCTCACAGCCCAGCTCCACCAAGAGGATGAGACAGGGCCCTCGGGTGGAACAGGAGGAAAATACAGACACATCCTGCCCTCTCCTCTTCAATGCCCTCAACTCCAGCTTCTCCACAGGAGGCAGGACTTCAGGACATACGGAGATGGAAACAGCCTCTCTGCAACGTCATCCTTGTCCCCAGTCTGGGCTCCCGTTATAGCCAGGCCCTCCCCAGGGTCTCTGTCCCCCTGTAGTTAACCCTGCTGGACCCACGGTCCCTCTCTCTGCCCTCATTAACTCCAGGATGCAGAGATTTTGGCTGGAAGGCCAGAGGGGAAGCCTGGTGACACCCACACCTGCTTCGGTCCCTTGCCCACAAGGACACACTCGTTGGAGCTTCTCTCTGGAGAGGCCCCCTGGATTAAGGATGTGACAGAAGAGCACCTCCCCACCACCACCACCACACCCAGGCTGATTTTAAAGGAAAGAGGGAGGGTGACACATGGGCCTGGTCTGGAACTCCAGCCTCTCACTAGCTGGGTGTCCTTGGACAAGTTACAGAATGTATCTGAGCCTCAACTGTTTTTTAACTGTAATAATAATATAATGACTACCTTATGGGCCCTCGCCTCTGTCAGTTGCCTCCCTCCCACCATCGCCGTCTGGTATCAGTTCTGTCTCCTTCCAACTTGTGTCCACCAACTAGCAGAGTGAACCTATTGGTTCTCATGTCAGCACCAGCTGAGAGCCCTGGACATGCCAGACCCTCAGAGGAGAACCAGGAGGGGCCCTGCCCTTGAGCTGGATGCGGCTGACCTGGACACCTGGACCCCCTCATCCCCCACAACCCCTTGCACCGGCTCCATAGCTGCGAGAGCCCAATCCCCACACAGAGGGTTCCTTGATCTGGTTCTAAATCCTCACGCAGCCTGCAGCCCACCCTCCAGACCCTTGCAGTCCCTTCTTCCTTCCCAGTGACATCTAACTCATCCCCTGGCAGGCCTCAGGCTGTGTTGGCCCACAATGTCCACCTGCTTTTGAGTCTCTGTCCATCCCCTCCGGCCATTCTGTCCTGGCCAAAACAAGTACTCTGCGGGCAGGTGTATTGGTATTTCTCTTTTCTCCCCTTCCCTTCCCCACGGGAGGAGCCCTGGGGGGGAGCCCTGGGACCCTGGGGTGTGGGGAGGGGACCACCATCTACCTCGCCAAGACACAGCTCCTTCTTGATCAGCTCCTTCAGCTCCTTCCAGCTCAGAGTCAGTTTGCTGCCCTCTCTGCCTGAATATTTATGGAAAGTGCTGACCATCATGGTCAGGGCCTTCTCAAGAGGAGTCTCCATCACACTGTGACGTTCTGGAGGCAGAAGGGAGAGGAAATGATTGCCTTGCCCAGGAAGCTGGACCTTCTGCTTCCCCATCACTAGCCCACCTCCAAGCTGCTCCCTCAATGACTCCATGATGAGACTGAAATCTACCAAGTGGACCCCAACGACTCAGGACAGGTTGTAATGAGACCCAGGGCAAACCTGGAACCCCCGGAGCAGGGACACTGACCAGCCCCAAAGGAGCCTAGGAGATGTCTCAGGGCAGAGGGATGACAAGGTGGCCTCCCCAAAAGAAGAACTGGTGGCAGATGGTGGAACAGAGAAAGGGTCAGGATTTTTTCCCTGCCATGTCAAGCTTGGGCACTCATTTTTCGGAGGCAGTCCTCACCCTAGTCGCCCTCCAGGGCCTGGGTGCCTGAATCACCTGTTATCAGGGAGTGTCCCACTCTAGAAGTGGGGAATGGGGCAAAGAGAGAGTCCAGGGGTTAGAGGAGACTGGGGCTGGAGCTGGAAGATAAGATCTTCAAAGGAAACCAGGGAGAGGTGATAGGGCTTGTCCAGCTGGTCTCCCGTCTCTTGCCCAGAGACCTGTACACACAGACCGACCACAAGGCAGCAAAGGGGGTGGGCCTGCTGAAACCTCCAGGGTCACTCTGAGAGCTGCATCCAGAGGCTGGGTTTGAATGGGGCCCTCCAGTCCATCTGCACAGCCACACCCACCCAAAAGAAGAGGAAGTCGGAGCTCCTGTGACTCAGGCTCGAAAACCGCTTCCCCCTTCAGGAGGAAGGAGCCAACACCCAGGGAACTCAGGGGCTGCAGGTAAGTCTGTGTAGAGTCCTGAGCAAGGAAGGGAGGAAGGCACTGCTGTCTCTTCCCTTCAGCCCAAAGCCCACCTCGCAATTCTTGAGCTGGACCCTTCATTCATCTCCCACCACCCAAAACCGTCAGCTTGTCCCCACTTCCAGGAGACTCAGCCAGGACCACAGTGGAAGAAGGCAAGGGTCTCTGGGCGTCTGCAGCAGCATCCTGGCTGGTCCTGATCCCCACCTCCACCCCAGAGCTGCTTCTCGGGAGATTCCGGAAGCCACAGGTCCAAATACTCTCCCTCTCCTCCCTGAGCACATGCCCACTTATCGGGCCGGGCCTTCCTTGGTGGAGGTCACGGGAGCTGGTCACCCTCTGGCCTCATCACCAGCTTACCCCACCATACAGATGAGCAGGGAGATCAGAAGGAAGGACTCACCAAGGAAAGAGGGAGCCAAAGGACTCACAGAGCGGAAAAAAGCTCCCTCCCACTGCTCTCTGCCTTTATCCCCTGGCTCCAGTCCCCAGGAGACCAGCGGAGAGAAAGGGCCAATGAGAAGGGGCCAGGGACAAGGAGGCCCAGGTCAGAGCCTCCTGGGGTGCGGCTGGGGAGAACCCCCCTCTGCCAGTCTCATACTCCTTGTTTCCAAACAGAAGGGATGGAGGCACACTGAGTTCACCAAGGCACACAGACCTTCAGTCCCAGAAGCTTTGTTTTCTCAACCAAAAATCAGAACTCACAATCTGATGGGACAATAGCCAGGCTGCCCTGGAAAGAAGACCCAGGAGATGTGGGACAAATGCAGGTACCCCCCCCACCCCGTGCCCTAGGCTGTTCTCTTCCCACCCACTCCAGGAACAGAACAGACACATCTTGAGATGGAAATCAGTGAGGGAAGATGTTTTCCACCAAGGGCATGGTCAAGGTCATTAGCAAGTATAGAGCCTAAGATTTCTTTTTTAATTGAAGTATAGTTGATGTATAATGTTGTGTTAGTTTCTAATGTACAGCACAGTGATTCAGTCAGACATTAATATATTTTTTTCATTACAGGTTATTACAAGATACTGAGTATAGCTCCCTGTGCTGTACAGCAGGACCTTGTTTATATATCTTATATTTAATAGTTTGTGTCTGCTAATCCCAAGCTCCTAATTTATCCCTCCCTCACCTTTTGTTTTCTATGTCTGTGAGTCTGTTTCTGTTTTGTAAGTAAGTTCATTTGCATCATGTTTAAGATTCCACATATAAGGGATACCATATGATATTTATCTTTTTCTGTACAACTTACCTCACTCAGTATGATCATCTCCAGGCCCGTCCGTGTTGCTGCAAATGGCATTATAATTCATTCTTTGTCATGGCTGAGTAGTGGAGCCTAACATTTTTTTCTTTAGTTCTTGTTGGGGGAGAAGTTAGGTTTACTTATTCATTTGCTTTCAGAGGAGGTACTGGAGATTGAACCCAGGACCTCGTGCATGTTGCGCATGTGCTCTACCACTTGAGCTATTCCCTCCCCTCAAGAGCCTAACATTCTGAAAGGGCTTTTCAATGAATTGTTTCTTCTAAACCTCACTCATCATCCCAGGAAAGAATTGTCAGAGACGCTCAGAATGGAGAACTGAGAATCAGGGACCGGGGAGGAGACCGAGGAAGGGAAGGGCTGGGTGGTGGGAGCGAGGCCATGGGCCGTGGACCGGGGTGAGCAGGTCCAGGGTGCAGTAACGGATGGAGCAGGAGTCAGGGAGAGTTGCTTGTGTCTCAGGAGAGACTCAGCATTGCTCTGCCGGCACCAGTCCAAGTAGGAGGAAGGAGCTGAGTTAGGAGCTTAGCGCCTACCGCTGCTGCCGCCCCTTCCCGGCCTGCCTGGGTGCTCCCCGCTGCCCCCACTCCACTCCCAGGCCGGCCGGCAAGGCTAGAGAAGCCCCAGGGACGGTCGCTAAGCAACAGGAGTTTCCAAAGTAGAGAGTAAGGCAGGAGGAGGCCCAAGGGAGGGCGCTCCCTGGAAGATGGGCAGCCTGGGGCCGGGTTGGGGAAGGAGGGGGAGGCGGCAGAATTTTTCCTGGATCAAAATTCTACCCAAGTCTCTGTAGTCACACCCTGAGGGAACCTCTGAGTCATCTACCCACTCCACTGAAACTTGAGAAAAACACAATGCGATGAGAAGGAAAGGAGGAAGCTTGAAAGGTCAAGGGAACCAGACCTTCCCTGCCTCTGGACCTGCCTCTACTCACCTCTTCTTTAGGGTCCCCGTACCTCCCAGGCATGGCCTGGAAGTCTGATGCCCATCCCACCCACTGCCTGCTGGAGCTGCTCGCCTTCAACCTGAAGGGAAACATCATGCCTGATCTTTTCTGGGTGGAAAAAATCTCAATTTCATTGATCAGATCCTATGTCTGGAATTTTGTCCCCAAAACTATGGTCACCTCCCACCATCTCCCTATTCCCACCGCAGCCACTATCCTCCACTCATCCCTTCCGAGGTCCTTTGTCCTCTGCTGAAGAAGCATGGCTGCTAACTGGTAACAGAGCTCATCCCAGGGTCTTTGGGACAGAGGTGGATGGCTGAGAGAACGATCACATCTCATGCTGCGGCCAACAGCCAGCTCTCCCGCCACGTTGCTTCCCTGATCCGACCATGGACAGGAAGGATTTATCGATCCTGGGGTTCGAAGTCAGAGCACTGGAAGGGGTGGCAGGACAGGGCCCGGGCTGTAAATGTCAAGACTGAGCCCTCCCCTCATCCCACTCTGGCCTCACTGCTTCTTCCCTGTGACTCAGACCTTTCCCCCCACCCACCCCCAGGGCGTCCACTTCCATTCCAGACCCCAACCAAGAGCAGATGCGACCTTCCATCCCATCCCCGCTGCAGTCAGATGTCCTGCCAGAGGCAAGGTAGGAGAGTGGGATGGGCAAGTGCGCTGGCTGAGGTCCCACAGCGGGGCTGTTCCAAGTCTCTGGGGGCCCCTCTCCTTGCCTTCAGCTCCATCCAGAGTCAACTCTGTCCCCCACACACATGCACGCTCACCCACGTCCCTCCCTCACCTTCACTAGCCTGCTCTCTACTCCCCACAGAACTGCAGCTCAGCTGCCAGAGCTCCCATACCCCCCATATCCCTCAAGCCCCACACCACGCCCCAAGACTCTCTCAGACCATCAGCCTCCTAGTGTTCAAGAATCTTTATTGAACTTGCTCAGTACTGAGCTTACGGTCTAGGGGAGCCGGGGTGAGGCACTGTGCCCACTGCCGACAGGGAAGACCCAGCCGGCAGGCCCCTCACCCACACCCGAGTAGCCTTCATTTCTTCCGGGGCTGCTTATCCGGGAAGCCTTCGAAGAACTCGTTGCACATCATGGCGATGCAGGACAGGAAGACGCAGTACTCCTGGAAGTCCACCTCGTTGTCCTTGTTGCTGTCCAGGTTGCTCATCAGCTTCTGGAACGCGGCTTCATCTGTCCT